ATCCCAGCTGGTGGCCGTGGCCAGGACGGAACCGGCTGTGTCGAGCAGCAACGTGTGGGTGAAGCACTGCACCAGGCCCTGGAGCACAACAGTGGAAGGGATCGCAGGATTTTCTAACAGGGCCGAGGCCACCAGCCCACCCTGCACCTCCCAGAGTGACCCTTAGGGACACCAGGGCACGGAGCCACCCCTCCTGACCGGGCAGCAGCACAGGGAGCTCTGGGCAGCCCCAGCGAGGGACCCCTCCCCAAACCATCACTGAGGAGCGAAACTGCTCCTCCTTACTTTGGTGACAGCCGAGCTCCAGAGCTGATAGGCCACCAGGCTCTGCTGCAGGAGCTCTGCCTTCACCCCCTGCCACTTGGCCAGCTCGGGGGACACCTCCTGGGCTTTGCCCTTGCCCAGCTTCTTGGCAGAGCGCGGTTCCCTGGGCGCCGACTCCGCGCCGCCCGCCTGGCCCAGCACACAGCGCTGCAGGTGAGGGCACAGCTCGGGCAGCGCCTGGCACAGCCTGGCCATGAAGAGCACGGCGTTGAGCCTGGCGTCCCCAGGGGGGTCCAGCTGGCTCTGGGCGCTCTGGAGCTGCTCCTGGACGCAGCCCAGGAGGTGCTGGACGCAGGCGACGCAGCGCTCGCGGAGCAGCCCCTGCACGGTGCCGGCGTCGGCGAAGCGGTCGAAGGCGGAGCGCGGTGGCACCGCGGGCTCCTTGGGGACAGAGTCGTCCCCGGGGAGGTAGGACAGGACATCCTCCAGCCTGGCCTTCAGCTGGGAGTCCAGCGTGGAGCAGAAGCTCTGCACGCACGGCGTGAGCGCCTGTGCCTTCATGGCCAGCCCGCTCCTGGCGAAGGGCCCGCGCTGCCCCACGCTGACCCACGCCGCGTCCCCGGGCAGGTCCCCGGGGCTCTCCGACCACAGGAACAGGGCCACGTTGTGTTCCTGCTGGATCTGCTTGCTCAGGGCACCGCTGCCGGCCTTCACTTCCAACTCCTGCAAGGCTCCAGCCAGCAGCTGCTTGGAGCTGCTTGAGATGGAGTCGAAGCCTTCTTTGGTCAGAGTCTGCAATGGAACCGGGAGAAAAACCAATTTCAACGTGCCACTAAAACACACCCTCAGTGCACTGGTGAGACAACAGCTGGGGGAGCAGAGCAAGGCTCCCCACAGCGCAGCACCCACCTGCAGCCTGTCCAGGAACAGCTCCTGCAGCAGCTCCTCCCAGAAGGACACAGGCCTGTCCAGCAGCCGCCGGCACACGGCCTCCCAGTTGTGGCTGCTGGCCTCGCTGGACAGCAGCTCCCACACGGCATCACGGATCCCTGCCAGCCCCTTCATGCTCTTCACGTACACCAGCAGGCTCCTGACCCCCGTCCTGATGTCATCACTGCACCTGGAGGCAAAGTTCCACCTGTGTGAGGGGCGAGGCCCTGGCACAGGGTGCCCCGGTGCTGGGTGTGCTGTGCTGCCTCCGGCTGCTTCAGTCGGGGTGAAGGATGAGGAGGATGAGGGGATGAGGAGGAAGTCAGCCAGGCTGGGACTGCCCTGTCCCACTCACATGTTGATCCACTGCTGCAGGGTCTCCCTGAGGTACTCCTGGCTGATGGGATGCGCGAGGGTCCGCAGGGCTGGCTGGAATTCCACCACGGACTCAGGCAGGTACTTGAACCAGCTGCTCAGCTTCAGATCCTCCTCCAGCACCCCTCCTCTCCCTGGAACCACAGCCAGGGATCAGCCCAGCACGGGGCACCCTCCTGCCTGCACACCTGGGCAGGTGCAGGCCTCACCTGCGGGGTTCTGGCCCGTGCTGCTCTCCAGGGTGGAGAAGAGCAATCCACAGGGCAGGGCTGGCTCCGGGGCCATCCCCTCGGGCACGGTGTAGAAGAGAGCGTGGGCCTGGTACAGCGTGGTGCTGAGCAGCTCCATCAGGGAACACACCTGAGCTTTGATTCCTGCGCCTGCAGAGAGGTGACCTTGAGCCAAGGCAGCCCTTCAGCACAGGTCAGTGGCACCGTGGTGCCTTCCAGGGAAGGGCTGGAGGGTGAAGGACTCAGCCTCATGCACCACCTGCTTCCCCATTGCAGGTGGGCTTGGCCTAAGCCCCTGAGCACTGTTAATTTTTGTGGTTTTGCAGTGTCCCAAGCCCCTGAGCACTGTTAATTTTTGTGCTGTTTCGCAGTGTCCCAAGCCCATGAGCACTGTTAATTTTTGTGCTGTTTCGCAGTGTCCCAAGCCCCTGAGCACTGTTAATTTTTGTGCTGTTTCGCAGTGTCCCAAGCCCCTGAGCACTGTTGATTTTTGTGCTGTTCTGCAGTGTCCCTGCCACCATGAGATTTCTGGGAACTGCCCGTCCCTCCTCTGGGGGCCAGAGGAGGCCAAGGGCAGGCTCAGCCCCAGCCCCCGAGCAGCAGCCCCGTGGCACTGACCGTGGTGTGGCTGGTTGAGCAGCTGCTGGATGGCCAGTTTCCTGGCCAGCAGGAAATCAGCCAGGGCCTGGCGTGGCGAGCTGTCCTCCAGCAGCATGATGGCACACAGGGCTTCTGCCACCGCCTGGTCCGAGCCCGTGGGGCAGCGCAGCAGGGCCTTGCTCTCCTGCAGGATGGTGGATCTGCCACAGGAACCAGCTGGAGTCACCGCCCGAGCCACACGCTCAGCGGGGCTCGCTGAGCCAGCCCACCCTGTGACTCTGGCACACTGTGCCACTTGTATTACAGGACTTGTTGTGCCAGCCTTGTGGAATGGTTTGGATTGGAAAGGATCTCCCTAAATCCCCGTCAACCCTGTCCCGTTACCTGACGGAGCCCCCAGGCTGTGCTTGCTGGCCAGGGGATATTCCCTCACCTGCCTCTTTGCCTGCCTGCAGCTTTCCAGGGCATTCTTGGGGCACTGTGCTCCCAGCCTGGCACCTGCCCCAGCCCAGGATCCTGCCTCAGGCAGAGCCTGTGGGACAGCTGAAGAATTCCCCACCTCGCTGAGCCCATTTCTGTCCCACCTTCCCCCGGCTGTGTCTGAGCCAACCCCACTGACAAGGAGCGGGAACTTTAGGATCAGCCAGTTCCAAATGCCCAAACCAGGCTGCTCCGAGGCTCATCCAGCTTCCAGGATGGAGCACTGGGACACTTCCAGGGACGGGACAGCCACAACTTCTCCGCGTAAGCTGTGCCAGGGCCGCCCCCAGCCCTTACCTGAGGTGGCTGGCAGCCGCCACTTGGCGCAGCAGGATGGGGAAGCGGGCGAGGATGGGGCTGGCGCGGGCTCGGGGGGTGTCCAGCTGCAGCTGGCGGCGCAGGTGAGCCCCGAGTAGGTGCAGCCGGGCCGCGGGCAGGTAGCGGCCGCCCTCCACCGCCCCCCACACCTGCTCGGGAACCTCCAGCAGCAGCTTCAGCTGCGCCGCCGCCCCGTAAAAACCTTGCTGAGCTGCCGGGCCAACCTGGAGAGGGCACACAGGGCTCAGGGGAGGAGCGGATGGGGGAACGCGCGGCGGGATTGAAGCGGGACACGAGTACGGGATGGGCGGGGAGGAGGAGGGATGGGGAGGAGGAGGTGGGAAAGGGGCAGAGCGGGAGGGAGATGAGGGGGGGAAAGAATGGTTCCGAGGGGCGCTGCCCGCGGCCCCTCACCGTGCCGGCGGGGCCGGGCCGGGCGGCACCGCCGCGCTGCAGCCCCCGCACGGCGCCCAGCAGGCGCTCAGCGCTCCGCCGCATCTCCGCGATGGTGTCCGCCGCCTCGATCAGGTCCCGGTAGCGCTCGCCCACCATCTGCCGCAGCTCCTCCCGCTTCTGCTCGATGCCGGCGCGCAGCCGCCGCTCCACCGCCCGCAGCTCGGCCGCCGTGTGCGCCTCGAACAGCGCCTCGGCCTCGGCGCCGCGCGCCGCCATCGCCGCCGCCACACCGGCACCGGCACCGGGCCCGGCCCGCGCCGCCGCCGCCGCCATCTTGGTCACGGGAAGGGGACGGCGCTTCCGGGCGTCACCGCTGGGCGGCGCCGCCATCTTTGTGCCGGGCACAGCCGCACCCCCTTGTGTCGTTTCCATGGCAGCGCCGCCATCTTTGTGCCGGGCACAGCCGCACCCCCTTGTGCCGTTTCCATGGCAGCGCCGCCGCCATCTTTGTGCCGGGCACAGCCGCGTTGCCACGGCGACGCGGCCCGAGGGGAGCAAACGCCGCTTTATTTATTTTATTTCTAGTTTGTTTATTTATTTAATTGCGTTCTCTCTTTCTTCCCCGTTTCCCGGGAAACGGGGCGGGCCCCGCGGCCTGCGGGTGCCGCTGTCACTCCACACACCCCGGGAGGTTTCGCCCTCAGGGCGCTTTGTGTTGGGGGGGCTTGGTTCGAACAGGGCTTCCAAAATCACCGCTCTGAGCGCCGGGATGTTCCCCAAAATCCACCCAGGATGCGGCAGAATGGGACTGAGCTTTAGGGTCCCTGCCAGCCCCAAGGCAGCGGCAGATGCGGAGGCAGGCAGGATGCAGCTCCGAGGGATGCTGCTGTGACAGAGCAGGCGGGCTCTGAGGCTGTTGTATTTAAATCCCCAAACCCCCCGTTTGTGCTGAAAATTAAGATGGGAAGAAAAAGAATCGCAGGTGTTTTGGAGTGGTTTGGTTTATTTGCGTGGGCAGTGTTGGTGCTGCTGGGCTGCACAGCTGCTCAGAGCTGAACTTTGTGTTTATAGGAGTTGGTAAACTCTGCTGCCAGGGACAGGACAAAAGTGCCCCAAACAGTGCCAGGGCAGGGTCAGGTTGGACACAGGGGGAATTCCGTCATGGAAGGGGCTGTCAGGCACTGGAGGTGCCCAGGGCGGTGGTGGAGTCCCCGTTCCTGGAGGGATTTGAAGCTGTGCGGATGTGGCACTTGGGGACATGGTCAGTGGTGGCTTTGGCAGTGCCAGGGTTGGACTCGGTGATGTTTGAGGGGTTTTCCAACCTGAACAATTCTGGGATGTCTCACAGGGAGGTGTCCAAGCCTGGCTCATAACCCCCAGCTCCAAAACACACAAAAAACCAGAAACTGTAGGAAAACCCTTTTATTTCCCTCCCCGTGGCACAGACTGTGGCAGTGGGAGCCTTCTCTGTGGGAAGGCTCAGTCCCACACTGGGACACTGAGGAACGATTGCCAGGGAGGAAAACAGGGCTGGGAGCAGGGACACGGCCTCGGCATGTCCTGGTCACCACGGATCACTGACAGGGCACAGCTACGGACACGGGGCGTGGACGGTGCTGCTGGATCTCTGCAGGGAACAGAGACCTCACTTCACCTCCCTTGCCCTGCAGAAGTCACCTGGCAGGGTGGCAGCAGCCCCTGGGGTCCCTCCTGGCTCGTGCGTGGTGCCACCCACCCCCTGGCACAGGGGGAGTCAGGGGTGCCCTGTGGGTGCATGAACAGAAAACCCCCCTGGGTACATCCAGTATATACAATTTACACATATTTACAGTCAGCCATCCCGTCCCTCCTCCCAGACACGGCGTGGGGTGGGATGGAGGGGTGGATGGAATCCACGGAGGGATGGAGGGATGGACAGAGGGAGTGGCCAGGCTGTGCATCCCTCAGCATCTCCTGCCTGGGACACTGCTGGAGGAGGATCCTCCCAGCCTGGCCCTCCTGTTGTGGCTTTTCACAGTCCAGGTCCTGCAGCGAGCAGGGAGTGGGGCTGAAATCCCTCAGGATAGCCAGGTGCCAGGCTGGGTGTCAGAGGGAAGGACAGAGGTGCCCTGGGCTGGGCAGACAAGTTCCAGGCTCGGTAGTAGGAAGGCAGCTTTGGGGTTTGCTGTGTCCTTTGCTCGTGCCTCGCTGGTGATTCCCCCTTGGAGCAGCAGCAGGGAGGGGATGGAGCCTCTCCCTGAGCACTTTGGAATTGGATCGGAGCCTGGGAGCTCTCCTTGCCTGGTGGGGCTGGATGGGACCTGGGCAGCTCTGGGACCTCTCGGTGGCGTGTCCCACAAAGACAAGGCTCTTCCACTGTGGCAGGGTGGGGAAACCCCCGGAGCCACGGCAGTGCACTTCAGGAGATTATTTCGGTCCAAGGCAGCGCTGGAGCCGGCACGAGGAGCTGCAGAGATGCTCCGGGAAGGCTCCAGGTCCATGCCCAGCCCCTGCTGCCCACCCGAGCAGGATTTGGCTCTGGAGCACAGCGGGGCACTGGCCAGCAGAGTGCCCAGAGCCAGGCTGGCTCCGAGGGGACACCGGGGATGCCCAGCCCAGCCCCAGCCCTGCTGAGGAAGGGGACAGCAGGGATGTCTCCATGCAGGTCGATCCCGTGGGACTGAGGAGCTGTGGTGCCACCCCTCAGCCTCGCTGGGGAAGCAGCGGTGAGGAGGAAAAGGGGAATTGGCTCCCACGGGCTCTGGGGAGGCCACGCTGGGAATGGAAGGCTCGTGCAGGAGTGACCCAGATCCCTGCTCCAGGCATCCCGGGGAGCTTGTGGCACACCCCAATTCGTGCTTGGGATTTGGGAAAACTTCCGTCAGTGCTCCCTGCTGCCCAGGCCCGTCTCAGTGAGAAGCACTTGCAGGATCGGGCTCTTGGCTCTGCAGTCACCAGCAGAGATTTCTCATCCTGCCACCAGCAGCCCTGAGAGGCTTTGCAGAGCAGATCCAATCTGAGGTCAAGTTCCCACTAAAATCAAGTGGCTGGGAAGGAAAACTTCGTTACCAGCAGCAGCAGCAGCGGGGCTGATGTTTATTAGTCAGCAATGAACAGCAAAAGGTTTTATTTTGCTGCTTTTACAGCCACTGGTGGGCTGTGGCTGCAGCTCCTTCCCAGCACTCCAAGGCAGCACGTTTTGCTTTCCTGCTCTTTTTCCTCGCTGAGCTGTGGAAAGGTGGCCGAGGAGAGCCCTGGCAGCCCCCAGGAGCCACCTCGTGCTCCTTCCCTGCCACATCCTGCCTCGGTGGCCTTTGGGATGTTGGTGGCAGTGCCCCACGCCCCTCATTCCTCACCTGCAGCCCTGTTATCCCCATCCCGGCAAAGCAGGGACATGTTTCAGATCCCACTCTGAGCATCCAGAAGTGTCACTGCCTGGGGGTTTGCCGGGACAAAGCTGAACTGGGCAGGGAATTCCCGGATTTCTGTATTTCCACATGAAACCAGCGCAGAGGGGGGTGCTCCCAGCTGGAGGCTCTTTCATCCAGCGGGGTTTTGCTGGCACAGACACGGCTGGGCTGGAGTCAGACCCCGGCAAACCCGGGTTTGGCCCGGCTGCAGGTGAGAGCTGGGGGCTGCACGCATCCCCCTCCCCACCGCACACCACGCACACGCCTCCCCCACGGGGTGCCCACGGCGGCACTGACGCATCGCTGCGGCTGTGCCACCGAGCCCAGCCCCGCTCCCGGCCCTCCCCGGGCTCCGTTTCACCGAGCCCCGAGCTGCAATTCCTGCAGCGTCAGCAGCGACCCGCCGTGCCCCGAGCCCGGGGGCAGCCGCGCTCCCCACGCCAGCGCTCGGTGCCCACGAGGGGACAGGGAGGTGCCACACGGGCACTGATCCTCGGAGGAGCAGGAAAGAGTTAAAAGCAAACAATTGCTGGCACGGCTCTGCTTTGTCTCGCAGTAAATGCAGCGTCCAACAGAGGCAGGAGCAGGTACCAGCCTGGCACCGAACCCTTTGTGGGGAGCGGGCAGGGCTGGCACAGCCGGAGGGATGCCCCAGGCCGGGATCTGCCGCAGGAGCTGGGCACAGCCATGGGAAAACTTCATGCTCTGGGATGGAGCATGGCCTGGCCGAGCAAGCGGGACCCCAGGGCAGGCGGTGCCCGGTGCAGCCTCACCTCCCACCCCGTTTGTGCTGCGGGTGATGCTCCGTTATCCGGTGGCGGTGGCACAGGGCAGGGTGACCGAGCCCCGGCTGCTCCCTCCCCCCAAAGCCCCTCGTTCCCACGGCTCGGCGCTGGAGCGGGGCCTGTGAACGGATCCGGCCCCCGGTGCCGCCACTTCTCCCTCTCCCCTGGGCTTTCCCCGGGGTCCCGCTGCGCCGGCCAAGGAGGGGCTCGGCTGGGGGACAGAGCCCCGGTTTGTGCCGGGATGGCAGGGCAGCCAGGGACAGGGACAGAGCCGAACGCTTCGGGACAGTCTTGGGGAGGCAAATAGAGCGGATGTGGGGCCAGCCCCGCCAGCCCTCACACAGTGCAGATCCAGGGGATGGATCCGTGCTGCCCTGCCCTTCCTCCTCCCCCGCTGCCGGGAGCCCCCTTGGCTCTGCCCGCTCCCTTCGGCCGGACAAGGGTGGGCAGCGAGTCCCCAGCACCCCCTGCCCGTGCCCATCCTCTCTCCAGCGTCACTTGCCTGGAAGGAGCAGGGAGGTGCCAGCCCTCGGAGCCGCGGCCGGACAAACCCCGATCTCAGCCGGGTGCAGGAGCCGCTGGCAGCGCCAGGTGCCCGTGCCAGGCTTTTCCAACGCGACAGCGCTGCTGAAACACTTCCAAGGATTTTCCAGCAGGGAGCGGAGCGCTGGCGGTGCCCGGAGCAGCGGCGCAGCGTGGGACCGGCCGATGCGGGCGGTGGGAGAGGCAGCGGCTCCGGGGAGGGCAAAGGGAGAAATTCTCCATCCTCCATCCCGGGAGAAAATCTGCCGGGCAGGGAAAGGGCTGGAGGAGGCAGGGTGGCATCAGAGGGGCTGCTGCGGGGGGGGCAGAGCTGCTTCCCGTGGGGAAGTCACCTCCGTGCTGGCGTGTCCCCTCCGGGTGCAGCGGTCACAGAGCGCGGGGAGGCGGCGGAGCAGGGAATATCCCGGGGAAACGCAATCCCAGACATCCCGCTCTCCTCGGGAGGGACGCTCCCACCAGGTCGCTGCAGGTTGTCGCACACCTGTGGCCTCGGCTCCTCCCGAGGTCCCCCGGTGTGTCCCGCTGCAGAGCCCCGAAGCCGGCCGGCCCCGAGGGTGGCACGGGGGACCCAGCAGAGCCACCCCGGCCGTACCTGTGCCCACTTTGGTGGCACTTTGGTGTCGCCGTGGGTTGTCTTGGTTTTCCTGGCGAAGCAGCTCCTCCTGACCCAACACCTGAAAGCCAAACCAGCAGAGAAGAGCCCAGCAGAGGAGCCCCGAGGCCACCGCCCGTCCCCTCAGGTGGCATTCCTGGCCTGGCCCCGTGCTGCCACCCCCTGCTGCAGCCGGGAGCCGATGGAAGGGGAGGAGCACGGGCAGGACAAACCCGCCGTCCCCTCAGATGCTGGTCTGCAGGTCCCCGTTGAGCAGGGTCCTCTGGGTTTCCGTGGTCTCGTTGAGGCGGGACTTGTCCTGCTTGCTGTCGCTGCGGTCGGCCTCGTCCATGCCGCTGACCTTCACCAGGCACAGGACATTCTGAAAGCTCTTCTTGAAGTTGTCGGACAGGAAGGCATAGAGGATGGGGTTGGCACAGCTGTTGGCGTAGCTCAGGACCACCACGAAGTCGAACATGCCCTTGAGGACGGGCGTGGGCACGATCATGACGGACACGGAGGAGACGTTGAAGATGTAGAAGGGGAGCCAGCAGAAGATGAAGACGGCGACCACGATGGACACCATCCTGGTGACTTTCTTCTCGGACTTTTTCCTTTTGGAGGAGCCCACCCTGATGCCCGAGGACTTGACTTTGATGATGATGAACAGGTAGCAAAGGCAGATGATGGTGAGAGGCACCAGGAAGCCCAGGATGAAGGCGTAGATGATGAATCCCGTGTACCAGGCGCCCGACTCTCCCGGCCAGATGATGGTGCAGCTACTCCTGCCGTGGTTGTGCTGCACCCCAGCGTAAATCATGATGGGCATGATCACCAGCAGGGAGACGCCCCAAACGGCCACGTTGATCATTTTGGCTGTCCTGGGCCGCCTCCACTTGGCAGATTTGATGGGATGGACCACAGCCAGGTAGCGGTCCACGCTCATAACCGTCAGGCAGAAGATGCTGGTGAACTGGTTGATGCCATCCACCGTCATGACAATCCTGCAGAGGGCTTTGCCGAAGGGCCAGTGCACCAGGGCCACCTGCATGGCCAGGAAGGGCAGCCCGAGCATGAAGAGCTCGTCGGCGATGGCCAGGTTGAGGATGTAGATGTTGGTGATGGTTTTCATCTTGGCGTAGCGGAGGATGACGTAGATGACCAGCGTGTTGCCGCACAGCCCGATGATGCACACCACGAAGTAGATGAAGGTGAGGATGGCGTTGCTGGTCAGGTCAAAGTGCTGGCCCGTGGCGTTCTGGGAGGTGTTGGTGGGCGCCTCCAGGGAGAAGTTGTCGAAGGGGGAGGCCGGGGAGAACCAGAAGGCGGTGGCGTTGGGCAGCTCGTACTCCATGGCTCTCCCTGGGCACTGCTGGCTCAGAGGAGCCGAGATGTCATCTTCCTTGGCTCTGGGGAGAGAGGAGAAGATTCCAGAAATCAGGGAGTAAATAGCAATGAAGGGATTCCCGGGGAGGATCTGTCCATCCTCTGCCAAGCTCAGCGGGAGAGAGGCTCCCTGCAGGGGGGGTTCCCAATCCCCCTCGCCACGTCCCCTCCTGGAGCAGCCTGCCCGAGCACGCCGCAGCTCCTCCCGGCTCTGCCGATGCCGGAGCCTTTACGACTCCACAAATCCAACCGGTGCGTCCCGGCGGGTGCGACTGATGCCCGGGAGCACCGAGCGCCGGGGGGAAGCCTCCTCCTCTCCAGCCCGTTCGGCGGGGGCAGCCCCTTCCCTCCCAGCCGGCACCGGCACGCCGAGCCCGGGCGGCTCCGGTGGGCGAGGAGCCCCCCAGCCCCGGCCCCGTCTCTGCGCTGCAGAGGGCAGCGGGCGGTGCTGCCCCGCCGCTCACCTGCTCCCGGCGGGCACCGGGGAGGCGCCGGCAGCGCCGGTGCCCCGCTGGGCTCCGCTCGGTTCCGCACCGCACGGCTCCGCACGGCTCCGCACGGCTCCGCACGGCTCCGCGCACCCGCTCCCGGCGCGGCTCCGCCGCTGGAGCAGCGCACCGGCTGCGCCCCGCCCCGCACGGGGCGGCTCTGCGGGGCCGGGGCGGGGACAGGGACAGCCCGCAGTGCCCAGCGCTGCCCACCCTGCGATGCCCACCTCCCCGCACTGCCCACCCTGCGCTGCCCACCCTGCTCTGCCCACCCTGCCCTGCCCACCCTGCGCTGCCCACCCTGTGCTACCCACCCTGCCCTGCCCACCCTGCTCTGTCCACCCTGCCCTGCCCACCCTGTGATACCCACCCTGTGATACCCACCCTGCCCTGTCCATCCTGTGCTGCCCACCCTGTCCTGCCCACCCTGCTCTGCCCACCCTGCGCTGCCCACCCTGTCCTGCCCACCCTGTGCTACCCACCCTGCCCTGCCCACCCTGCTCTGTCCACCCTGCCCTGCCCACCCAGTGCTACCCACCCTGTGCTGCCCACCCTGCGCTGCCTCCCCGCTCTGCCCACCCTGTTCTACCCACCCAGCGCTGCCCACCCTGTCCTGCCCTCCTTTGCCCGTGCTGCCCACCCTGTTCTGCCCATCCTGCCGTGTCCATCCTGCTCACCCTGCCCTGCTCTGTCCACCCTTCTCTGTCCACTCTGCCATGTCCATCCTGTTCTCTCCACCTTGCTCTGTCCATCCTGCTCTGCCCACCCTGTCCTGCCCACCCTGCCCTGCCCACCCTGCCTACCCACCCTGCCCTGCCCACCCTGCTCTGCCCACCCCGCCTGTGTTCCCTCTCCTGCCATGCCCACCCTGCCTCCAGCCCCACTGTCCAGCTACATTTTGCTTCCAGCCTTGGCCTCAGCTTCTCCAGAGCCACCAGGGAGAGGGCACCGTGCTGGCCACGCTGTGACCCAAATGAAGGGTGACCCAAAAAGCTTCTGAGAGCCCCAAAGGAATGCTGGAAATTCCTTGGCCCCAGGAGTTTGCATCTTGCCTCCACAGCCAAGCCGAGGCAGTTCCTTGCGGGTCCTCCCATCTGGGGGAAGTCAGAAGGTGATGCTGAAATATTTGGGTCTCTGGGCACTTGTGTAGTACAGGTGGCTCCTGCCACAGCCTCTCCCTGGATGAGGAAGACCAAAAAGGAGAGGTTTGAGGCAGATAACCTCTGCTCTGGTTTGTTTGGGATCTTGAGAGCGATTAAATTATCTCTATTCCTGCCCCCCTTCCCATCACTTGTCCAGGAGACAATAGAGAGCAGGAAATTAAGAGTGACTGTGAACAAAGAGCCCCGCGCTGAGGCTGCCAGTGCGGCCGGCAGCTCCTCGTTTTCACTTCGCCATCCACTTCCCCAGGCGGATCTAAAGACATCAGCTCCTGGAGCAGCGGCAGAGTTGTTATCAGCCTCATTAATCTTTAGGAGGCAGGAAAAAGCTGCTTCTGCTGGAGATGATGTGGGAATTAATGTCCCGGTAATAGCGGGAGAGGAGGGAGGGGGTGAAGGGGATGCGCGGCTGCTGTGAGGGGGATCGGATCTTTGGGGTGTCCCGAGGAACGGCAGTCCCTGGGTGGCCCCCGGAGGAGGGAGGACAGCCCAGGAGAGGGGTTTGGTGCCCTGTGACCTTTCCAGAGCTGTTTTATCCTCTCCTGGCTGGTTGCTGTGCCCAGCACCGGTGCCTTCCCTGGGCAGTGGTGGCCGTGAGCATTCCCAGCGCTGCCTCCTGGAATCTCTCCCCGGAGCAGGTGACAGTGCCAGGTACCTCCCCTGTGTTCCTGGCACCGAGATCACCCCCCTGGAGGAGGGGCAGGGGGAGCACAGGGATCCCAGGGGGCCCCCAGCTCCTGGGGCTGCCAGGGGAGCACCAGGGCTCCAGCCTCTCCCTGCTTTGCACTTCCACCTCGGTGGGAAGCCAGGCCAGGGAGCTGGGGGGATCCAGGCGGTTCTGCCTGGCTGAACCCAATCTGATCTTCATTAAAAACCCCATAAAATTAATGAGCTGATGGCCCGGTGGGTGTTGAGGAGCTGATCGGAGCTGATCTCCATCCAGGAGGAGGGCAGCAGCAGCTGCCTGAGTCAGGAAGCCATCCTTGAGCCTTTTGAAGGCAATTTGTCCCATTCTGCCTAGTTTTGAAGCTGAATTAAAGCCCAGCGCAGAGGCTGCTCTGCATCCCTGGGTGGTCCCTGGTTCGGAGGGACGCTGTACCAGCAGCTGGTTTGGTGCTGGCAGATAAACTCCTCTTTGTCCTTTTGCCTGGGAAGCATCCACAGCGCTGAAAAGCACTTTACTGGCAGGGCTGGGGAGGGGAGGAACACACAGCCCCTTCCCACACGGCCGAAATAACCCCTGGGAGAGGGGCACGGGGGTTACGTGACCACAGAGAGGCTTTAAAAGCCCTTCCAAGTCCCTTCCCAGCTGCTCCACAAGAGTCCCTGTGGAAAACAGAGCTCTCGACCCCTGTCCTGGAAATGAGTGTTGTAAGGAGCTGGGGCTGGGATGCCAAAGGAGGGGTAGGGTGAGCTGGCCTTTCTCCTGGATCCATGGCAGGGAGGCAGGAATGAAGGGGCTGTGTTGGGCTGGGCTGGGCTGGGAGGGGGTGCAGCCGCTGTCCCCCGGCACGGGAAGGATTTGCTGTGCAGCCAGCCCCAGGATCCCTGTGGATCGCTTGGATTCGATGATCTCTCTTTGGAAAGCCGGCCCTGCCCAGCCCCCTCCCCCCGCTGCCCTCGGAGGGACCCCGCTGTCCCCTGCGGCCGTGGGGACAAAGCCAGCCCCGGCAGGGATGAGCGTGCTGTTTCTGTCCCAGGGACACTGGGCTGGCGCTGCCCTTTCCCTGCCTTTTCCCTTCCCGTGGCTTCGCTGGCTCTGCTGATTCCTGCCTGGAGGCGGCCTGGCTGCGTTTCAGGGATGCCCGGGCCGGGGGGAGGCTTGGCTTTCTGCTAATTAACCAGACAAACAGTCTGGGCCACGTCCCCGCAGCCCGAGGCGCGGCAGGACCCGGCTGGTGGCTGCCACAGCTAATGGGGAGCGTCTGCAGCGCTGATGGATGGCGGGGGAGAGGCGCTGAGGATGTCACCTGCGCCCCGGGCAGCTCCGGACCTGCTGGGATCCGGGGCAGCATCCACGGCCTGGGATCCGGGGCAGCATCCGGACCTGCCGGGGCAGCATCCACGGCCCGGGATCTGGGGCAGCATCCACGGCCCGAGATCCAGGGTAGCACCCACACCCTCCCGGGATCCAGGGCAGTCTCCACATCCAGGATCCAGAGCACCATCCACACCCAGGATCCAGGGCAGCACCCAGACCCTCCCGGGATCCAGGGCAGCACCCACACCCTCTCAGGATCCAGAGCAGCATCCACCCCCATGATCCAGAGCACCATCCACACCCACGATCCAGGGCAGCATCCACCCCCATGATCCAGAGCACCATCCACACCCACGATCCAGGGCAGCATCCAGCCCCAGGATCCAGGGCAGCACCCACACCCTCTCAGGATCCAGAACAGCATCCACCCCCATGATCCAGAGCACCATCCACACCCTCCTGGGATCCAGGGCAGCATCCACATCCAGGATCCAGAGCAGCATCCTCCCCCATGATCCAGAGCACCATCCACACCCGGGATCCAGGGCAGCATCCAGCCCCGGGATCCAGAGCACCATCCACACCCTCCTGGGATCCAGGGCACCATCCACACCCCCCATCCCTCTCTATACCCCGGGGCTCTCCCCTCCACACCCCGTCCCGGCTCCTGCTGCTTCCAGACCTCCTCGCAGCCGGTTCCTTCCTCTCCCTGCCTCCCTCCCCTTCTGGCCCCGCCGTTATTTGCCTCCCTAATTGGTTTATTGATCTCTGGAGGGGCCGGGCCGGGCTCGCCGTGCCGGTGAATCACGTCGGTGACACTAATGAGCCTTTGGCAGCCGCGCCGAGATCGCGGCTCCTGCGCCGGCTGTGCCCGCCTCGTTGGAGGGTCCTGCGGTTAATCCGGGGCTGCACAGGCTGGCTTTGGCAGCCGGGCTCTGTTCCAGCTGGAAATGTCACGGCTGGTGACAGCAGGCACTGATCCCGCTGCACTCCGCGTTCCTTGGTGCCCCGGGACGAATAGGGCACCTCAGCCCCCTGACATGGGACCGTGACCCCGCCTGGCCCTGCCCCGTCCTTGGGGACAGCCCCGCGTGTCCCCATTCCCTGTCTCGCCATCCAGGCTGGCTCCAGCCGCCGGCCCAGCCTGGCACAGATGGGTTTGGGTTGGGCAAGAGCCCGGCCCTGAGCCCAGGCTGCGCGCAGGGGACACTGCAGGGACACGCTGGCCCTTCCCAGGGATGGCAGTGCCCGGTGCCAGCCCTGGGCGGGGTGTGCCTCTCTGCCCCCGACAAAAAATCCCAAAGGATTTGGGTCCTGGCTGCCCCAGCGCTCCCTGGAGCTGCCCCCAGTAAGGTCTGGGTCACCCTGATGGGAGATGGCAGCGGATTTGTCCCCTTTTGGTGTTTAATGTGCATTTTAGGGGCTCTGGGGCTGCTCCTTCCCTGCTGGACAGGCAGGGCTCAGGGGGGAGCTGCCAGCCCTGGGCTGTGACACTGAGGGGACAGGCAAGAATGTGACACTGACACAGGCAGGAATGTGACAAGGGGACAGACAGGAATGTGGCACTGAGGGGACAGGCAGGGCTGTGACACTGACCCAGGCAGGGCTGTGACACTGATACAGGCAGGGATGTGACACTGGGACAGGCAGGGTTGTGGCACTGAGGGGACAGGCAGGGCTATGGCACTGAGGGGACAGGCAGGGCTGTGACACTGGGACAAGCAGGGCTGTGACACTGAAGTGTCCCCGCCTACAGAAGTGACACTGAGGGAACAGGGGTGGCATTTTGCTGGTGCTCCTGCACAGAGCCATCACGGCTGTCCCCACTGCCACCCACACGTCCCCAGGCAGGGCCATCGCTGCCAGCCGCCCCCAGCCCGGTGCAGCGTGTCACCGTGTCCCCAGGGCCAGCCCTGCCGGGTCACAGCTGTCCCCAGCCCTGTCACAGCCGGCCGGGGATCCCGGGGTGGCGGGGGCAGCTCTGTGCGTCTGTCCCCGTGTC